CGCACGTAATCGCGCACGCTGCCCCATGCAATGCCCCGCCCCCATTACGAGCAGCAGCAGTCGCGCGCGCGGTTGTACGCGCAGCCCTACGCGCTGCCCCGCTTCCGTCCCGATCCGTTCAGCAGCTGCTGTTGCGCGCGCATCTGCAGCTAGAGCGCGCGCACGCCTGCACAAGCGCTGCTCCCCGCGCACTGCGCATGCGCCCCTGCCTCCGGCAGCGGCTCGGCAATGGAGGCGGCATGCCCGTGCCTCACCCACCGCCCTGTCACGCCCCAACCGCGGCATTAGCTGTGGGGGGGGAGGTGGCAGGGCTGGAGGCCGTCAAAACAGGGGTGCTGAAGCCCCCCCTCCCCCCCCCCCCCCCCCTCTCCCTTATCCTCCTTCTCATCACTGCCCGTGCATCTGCAATGTGTGCTGGGGGGGGGGGGCGAGAGGGTGTGGGGGGGGGGGGGGGGGGTATGAAGGCAGCAGCCCCTCCCTCTCTTTCTTCCGCTGCACTTCCTCTTCCCGCTCTTCCTCCTCCTCTCATCTCCTCCTCACGCCCTGCCTACTTGTCTTTCGTTCTCTCGTTCCTTCGTGTTGCTGCTGCTGCTGCCTGTTGCTGGCTCGCCCCCGGAGGTGCTGAGCCGTGCTGTCTTGCTGCTCGTAGCAGCCACGTCGCCTGCTCTCTCGCCCACCGACCGTCGCCTGCACCCGCCACTGCTGCTCTCTCTGTCGATGTACCTCTACAGGGGGTGTTGCTGCACATGGTCATCCACTGCATGCAATTAGGGGGTGTGTTCGACTATAACTTTATGCAGTATAGACTCTAGTGCATGTAATCCTTGTTGGAAATGTACAGTTCGCGCTTCTGATGTGGCGAGCACTACAACGAAAGCGAAGCAAACTAAAGCGAAGCAACGGCGATTCAACCAAAGCGGTTGACAGAAAGACAACAGCAAGAAGTTAAGTGAAGGTCAAAGGTTAGCGACCTTTGACTCGCCGAAGGCAGCACAACAGCAAGGACACATAACTGACTCGATAATGAGCAGTTACCCGAGTCGTCGCTGTATCGAACCGCAACAGCAGTTACAGTTAGTTAAACCTTTCGTATTCCTTGTAATAATATAAAAGCTTGTATCTCTTTGTTAGTATCAACTTATCTTGTTCTCACATACCAGTGCAAGGTGGTTCAATCAGCTTACTAATACGCTTCCGCCAATACATCACTACCCTGAGTCTTCAGTCTTGAAAACGATCCTAAGGGCTTTCTCAGCCCAACATGGTATGAGAGCAGTCAAGGCAAAAGACAACTATGTTCAAGCTCCTACAACAACACAAGGCATAGCTACGCAGAAAGAGAGAAGCTCGTCTACTAAATCTCCAAGTAACACTCCTAATCCACCACCAGCCTGTGGACTACAGACAGAAAGAAGCACAACCCAAGGACCAGCAGCTGAGCCTACTGAAACTCCAGTGAGTCAAGCTACCGGCTTCGACCCAAGCATGATGGAGAAGTTCTTCTCCTTCATGTCGTTCTACGAGCAACACCAACAAGCAGCACCTGCGCAGTCAAACAACATCGACAACAACAACAGAGTCACTCCCATGAGCCTTAACGGTTCATCATTTGCGCACAAAAATCAGCAACCTACCTTCGCACTGTATGAGCCTCAATGCGGCTCTGTCAGCTTCATGCCAAATCGACTCCCACCTAGACAAGAAACACACTGGACGCACTTCAGCTGCAGTCGCAGTTTGCACACATCCTGAAACTACAAACGTCAACACTATTCGACGACAATGGCTTTTATACCTGGTCTTTTGAGTTCAAGCTGATGATGGAGGGCGCTCAAATCCTTGGCTTCTTCGACGGTTCCCTGCCATACCCAACACACGGAACGCAGTACGACAAGCAGCAGTACACGTATCAGTCACTAATGGCGTACACCATACTCCTGCACAACATAATGGCAAATGAGTAGCAGAACATCCGATCTTATCGCGGATACGGCAACTCCGCCGAGCTCGCATACAACCATCTGAAGAACGTGTATCAAGCATCCAACAGTGTTAATCGGAGTCGTCTCATGGCACAATTGACAACGGTGCAAATGCAACCCGGTGAAAAAGGAATGGCATATATCAGTCGCTGCCGTGGTCTGCGCGATAGACTTCTTCGATGCGGCGGATCAAGTGTTCGTCACTGTCGTCATCACTGGTCTCGGCCCTCAGTGGCGCTCCACCCGAGCCATTCTCCGAGCCGACGGAAGAATCTCCGAAGCAGCCCTCTGCGCTGAAATCCACGCCGAGCAACAAGACATGAACCTGCACGAAGAACGTTACAAGAGAAAGGCATTAGTACCGAAGTTCACATTTCACACTCAGCGGCGCAACAACAACAACAACCAACAAAACGAGCACCAAGCACGAAGATACGTACCACCGTTCTGTCACCTCTGTAAAACGTCAGGGCACTCTCGCGTCCACTGCCCAAATCAACAGCAATCATCACCATCACCACGTCAGCTTCGACCTTCAAGTAGCCAAGTGGCTTCCACACAACAGCATCCTTCCAACCAGGCGTCGTCTTCAACGACAACATCACAACCTGCAAGAGGAACAAGAAATATCATAAGTTGCAAGACAAGAACAACGGACTCCTGCATCACCAGTTCACCACCGACCTACTCACCCGAAGAACAGCTCGACGAAAGCACGCCTCGTCGCGAATCACTGGAGCCGAATCCGACGTACACAGCCATCGCCCAAAGCGAACCATCCGGGAAAGACACCTAATTCTTGGATAGCTGCTGCGGACAACATATGTACCTTTTGGGTCGATTTGTTTAATGGGAACAACGCCTCAATCGCAAATTGTAATCGCCGTCGCCAACAACCAGAACCTGCACACACGACGACAGCTTCAATCCTGCAAAACTAACGTTATTCTACAGATGTCAAAAGTTTTGATTGCAGAAGGACTAGGTTACAACTTACTCAGCGTCAGTCAACTCATGGCGAAGGGAATCTACCTCGAAGCCGACAGCACCACTCGGGAGTTTAAGCTATACAATGGCAAGGGCGGACTTTACATCGGAAGAGTGGTCCTGAAGAAAAACGTCTTCGCCCTCGACTTCGTCCCGGATCAAGGCACCGCTGACAGCGACGCGATTGTTTGGTCGCACCCACCAGACCTCGACCCCGACTTCAGCCACGGAAGATTCTGGTACTCGCACACCATACCTGAAGCAGAACGAACAAGGGCATTAGCGGTGATCCAAGAGACATGGGGAGAAGCATCAACATCAGCAGCAGCAGAGAACGCAGCAGCGGAGACATCGGCAGAAGCTGTGGCAACAGCAGCAGCAGCGACAACAGGAGCAGCAGCGGCATCATCGGCAGAAATAGAGACAACGACACCAGCACCAATGGCCACTCAGCAGCTGACTCCCACCCCACGCAACGTTCACCAGAGCGCCAACATCACTGCCGGTTTTTACTCCAACTCCGATCTGTACAGACGTTCAAAGGACATCGCGCTGACGAATCGCTATGGCATCAAAGGTTACAGCATCCTAGCAACACAACACTGAAGAACACGATAAGAGCAGGAGTGCTCGATAAAGACTCACTACTCCTACCCGACGGCAGGGAGCTTCAACGAGTCCGCGGAACTTGCTTTACCTGCCCCGAAGCTGACTTACCCCATCAACCTGTCAAACATATATGATATAGCCTGTGTAGGCTATAGTGGGGTAGACATTATGGGGTACAACTTTTCTAGGTTTTCATACTTGTACCCATCTCCTTTCTAGTCCACACCATTCCTCGTACTATTCTCACATGGTATAGAGCAGGTTCCCTAGTGGGACCGTTTTTTTTAAAGGGCCCACCAATTAATACTTTTTTTTTCCTGCCCTGCCCAAAGCGCTCTCCTTGCCCTGTTGCGCGCCTCGCGCCTGCCTCACCTGGGCCCCGTGCGCCTGCCCTGCTATCGCGGCCCCTGCCGTCGCGGCCCCTACCGTCGCGGCCCCTGCCGCCGCGGCCCCTGCTGTCACGACCCTGCCTGGTGCCGTTGCGGCCACTACCGTCGCGGCCCCTGCCATCGCGGCCCCTGCCGTCGCGGCCCCTGCCATCGCGGCACCTGCAGTCGCAGCCCCTGCCGTCGCGGCCCCTGCAGTCCCGGCCCCTGCCGTCTCGGCCCCTGCCACCGCGGCCCCTGCCGTCGCGGCCTTGCCTGACGCCGTCGCGGCCCTGCCTCCCTGTCGTCGCGACCCTGCCTCGGGCTGTAGCGGCCCTGCCCGGCCGCCGTCGTGGCCCTGTTCTGTTGAGTTCGCGGCCCTGCCTGCAGCTGCCGCGGCCCTTCCTACAGCCGCAGTCGCGGCCCTGCCTACTGTCACTGTTGGCGGCCCTACCCTGCGCCCGCACCGCCGACCTGCACCCCTGCCTGACGCGGCCCTGACCTGCCAGTGCGCCACGGCCCTGCCCTTCTAGTTGCGGCCCTACCTCGATCCTGCCCTGGTAAGCGCGCTGCCGCATCCGCGCCGCCCTTGCGAGCCGCGCCGCCCTGCCGAGTCGCGCTGCTCCCGCTGCTGCTGATGCTGCTGCTGCTAGGCTACTGCTGCTGCTGCTGCTGCTGCTGCTGCTGCTGCTAGGCTACTGCTGCTGCTCCTGCTATCATGGCTAGCCCTAATGTCCTTACCTTCGATGCTGAGGGTTGAGCCGTTGATTTCGAGGTCTGGGTTGATGATCTGCAGCTTTTCCTGCAGTGTGACTCTAGGGACGGAGTCTCACTGTTCGATCACACGTCCGGCGTCGCTGTTGCCCCTGCTGCCAATGCTGAAAGTGCAGTTTGCTCACAGTGGGCCACACGCGATGGTGCTGCTCGCCTAGCTGTCCATAGTGATCTGCCGTCTGCTGAACGCGCGCACTTTAGCCAGTTCAAGACCGCTAAGACTCTGTACGACGCTGTTGTTGCGCGCTACTCCTCCCCTGCCACTGCTGCCCTTAGCCGCCTCATGCTGCCGTACTTGTTCTCTGACCTAGCCGCTTTTGCCACAGTCGCTGACCTCATCACGCACCTCCGCTCTAGTGACACCCGCTACCGCGCTGTGCTTCCTGCGGAGTTCTGCGCCGCGATCCTCCCCCCCCTATGTACATCACTCTCTACTACCTCGTCACCCGGCTCCCTGACTCCCTTCGCTCGGTCAGGGACCACTTCCTCTCCCTTTGCCCCACCACGCTCACCGTTGACCTCCTCAAGGAGTGCCTCCTTGCAGCACAGAAGAGTATAGTCGCTGTAGGAGCCTCTCGTGGGGACCCTCGTGCCCCTTTCTTTGAGGGGTGCTCTCCCGTCCCTCTTTTGCCCTCTGTTGCCTCTGCTGCTGCTGTCGAACTCGTTGGCACCGAGTCGGTTGGCGCTGCGTCTGCTCCTAGTGGGAGGCGCCGCAGCGGTAGGAGCAAGGGGGGCAAGGGTGCTGGAGGGGATGGCGGGGGCGGCGGTGGTGGCGGTGGAGGCGGCGGAGGGGGTGGGGGTGGAGGTGGGGGTGGTGGCGGGAGTGGGAGCTTCAGTAGCGGTGGTGGAGGTGGAGGCGGTGGAGGCAGCGGCAGTGGGGGTGGAGGTGGCGGCGGCGGCGGTGGGGGTGGCGGCGGTGGTGGTGCTGGTCGGGGTTGCGCTGTGCAGCAGGGAGGCTTTGGCGGCAGCCGCCGGCAGCAGCAGCGCCCTCGTGAGACCCTGTCGCCCCAGCAGCTTCGTGAGTGGTACGCTGGGCGTGGGAGGTCTGGGGGTGCTGGTCCCTGCGCTTACGTTCTCCACACCAGAGACCGCAGTGGAGAGACGTGCGGCGGCCCGCACGCCACACAGCGCTGTTTTGGCCGCCTGACTGACGCCTGGCGTGCACTGTTTCCTGGCGCCACTGAGCTTCCTTGCTGGGGTGTGTTGAGATAGAGGCGAGGAAAATGAATGCACTATGAAATGAAACAAGTACAAGTACCAACCCTAATTGGGTTGTACCCCCTATGGGCTACCCCACTACAGCCTAAATATATGCATCAGTAATATAATCATCTGACACACCCCCATAGGCAAAGTGGGGGAGAGCAAGGGGTCACAAGACCAGTCAAGCAAAGCAAAGCAAAGCAAAGCAAGCTCAGGGTGGATCTCAAGGATACCACACAAATTCCGAGCACAAGGTCAAGGCCACAAGGCCAGTTCACATGCAGCAGAGCATATATATATAACAGTGCTAAACAAGCAAGAGCAAGGATATATATATGCAGCAGTACAAGCAAGGTCAAGAGGTAAGCAAGTGAGGCCCAGTGGGCACAAGGCCTAGCAGAGTGCAAAAGCGCTGATGGTCACGAGGCGGAAGTGCCTTGGTGAACACATCAGCAGTGTTGGCCTCAGTGGCCACGAAACGCAGGCGAAGCTGACCACGCTGCTGCAGCTCTCGAGCAAGGAAGTAGCGCAGAGCAATGTGCTTCGTCCTGTGCTCCAGTCTGTGCTCCTCACACAAGGCAATGGTTGCCTTGTTGTCGACGTACAGCACTGGAGGAGAACGAGGCCGCTCTCCAAGGTCAGTCAGCAGGTAGGTGAGCCAGCAAAGCTCCTGGGCAGCCATGGCCGTGGCGTAGATCTCAGCCTCACAGCTGGAGCTGAGAACCGAAGAAGAGCGAGTAGAGCGCCAAGAGACAGAGCCAGAGCCAAGACTGAAGGTGTAACCCTGAGACGACCTTTGAGTAGCCTGGTCGTCAGCCCAAGAAGCGTCTGAGTGCCCAGTGAGCACAGGCCGCTCACGCCCTCCAAGCACTAGCCCCATGCCCGACGTACTGCACAAGTAGCGCAACACCCTCTTAGCTGCATCCATGTGCTCCTTCCGGTGACGGCCGGGAGCAACATAGCGTGCTAAGATGCTGAGAGGGTATGCGAGGTCAGGTCGAGTGCAAGTCATCAGGTACATGAGGCAGCCCACAAGCTCTGGATACGGACCACTCGACTCTACGGACTCATCCGAAGGCACAGCTGAGAGCGAGTGTCCCGTAGGCAGAGGAGTGGACTGAGGCGAGGAGTACGTGAAGCCGAAGCGCTGAAGGACCTGCTGCACCATGTGTGACTGAGTCAGGGTAATGGTGCGGCGTGCTCTGTCCCGGGTGATCCGCAAGCCAAGATAGCTTGTCAGTTCACCCAGGTCTGTGCACGTGTGTCTCTTCTGCAGCTCGGACTTCACGTGGGCGAGTGCGGCAGTGTCCGCAGTGGCAAAGACCAAGTCGTCGACGTACACGAGGATGTAGAACGGCGGCAGCGAGGTGTCGGTGCGCAGAAACAGCGACGGGTCAGCAGTAGAAGGAGCAAACCCAAGAGCCGCAAGTGTAGTCCTCAGTGTGTCGTGCCACTCACGCGGCGCCTGGCGGAGACCGTAGACTGGCCGCCGGAGGCTCCACTGGGTACCAGGTGTGAACGACCCAGTGAAGCCAGGAGGGCGGCGCAGCCAGATCTCCTCGTGCAGGCGGCCCTGCAGGAAAGCAGTGCTGAAGTCAAGAGAGTGTAGCTCGTAGTCACGCTGAGCAGCGACGTGCAGTAGAACCCGAAGAGTGGTCATCTTCGGGGTCGGGGAGAAGGTCTGAAAGAAGTCAACTCCCTGTCGCTGACTGAAGCCACGAGCCACGTAGCGCGCCTTGAAGACAGGCGGAGAACCCGGCGGCCGCTTCACCCTGAAGATCCACATGCCACTGACAATGTTCGCCCCAGGAGGGGGAACAGCGTCAACGTAGGTGCCTGTGGACTTCCAGGAAGCCATCTCTGCGTCCATGGCTGACTGCCACTGAGAGGAGTAGGGACCGGCCATCGCCTCTGCGTAAGAGCGTGGGGTCGGGATGTCTAGAGCATCCGGGTCTCCCTCAGGGGCAACAAGCATGGACACGAGATGGGGCAAAGTGGCGGCAAAGCACTGGAACTCCTCCTGCCTGTCCTCAAGGACGTCCGTGCCAAGAGCACAGTCACCCCCGACGGACGGAGGATAGGCAGACGCAGACGCAGCAGACGCAGACTCAGCAGACTCAGCAGACTCAGCAACAAGACTGGCAGCGTAGTCCAGACGACACGCAGCAGCAAAGTCGACCAGCTCAGCAACTAGGGCAGACGCAGCAGCGGACTCAAAGGAAGGGTCAGTGACAAGAGTAGCAAGAAGACGCGTGACAGTAGGACTGGCAGCACGGTGAGAGTCCGACTCCGGGTCGGCAAGTGTAGGAAGAGAAGACTGAGGAGGAGAAGGCAAAGGGGCACGCAGAGGAGCAGTGGATGGACGCAGAGACATCTGGTGCGTGCCAGGGACAGGAGGAGGACGCTGACGCGAACCGCGACCACTAGGGCGAGCAGCTCGGACTGGCGACGCAGGGCGGGACGCAGGCTCACGACGCTCAGCAAGACCTCCAGTAGGACCAGCGTAGGGAGAAGGAGAAGGCAGGGGAGAGGCGGGCTGTAATTGTTACCGTGACGGGACAGGCTGCGGACACTCTACGGGAGGAGAAGGACCAGTGGAAGGCGGGAGACCAAGAACCTGCTAAAGGAGCGGAACGAAGTACGGCCGAGGCCGCGCAGCACCGCCAGAGACAGCAGGGACAGGACCAACACCTCTAGAGGCAGCACCAGTACCAGTAGCAGCTCTAACTCCAGCACCACCAGCAGCTGCAGAAGTGCCCGTAGTAGGACCGACAGTCGTAGCCTCAGCGCCAGCACCCGCAGCAGCTCCAGCTCCAGAGGCACCCCCGGGCCCGGCAGCTCCAGTACCCTCAGTACGAGCACCTCCGGGACCCGTGGTACCAGCTCCCTCGGCAGCAACGGAACCTCCAGCACCCGCAGTACCCCCAGCTCCAGCAGCTCGCCTCCAGCGCCGGGCAAACCACTCACGCAGCTCCAGAGGAGAGAGCGGCTCGCGGCGCGAAGAACGGTCTGGAGAACCACCAGGAACAGAAGCAGCAGGCGCAGCACTCCCAGACGCAGAACCCCCAGGCTCAGCACCCCCAGGCACAGCACCCCCAGGCTCAGCACCCCCAGGCTCAGTACCCCCAGGCTCAGCACCCCCAGTCTCAGCACCCCCAGGCTCAGTACCCCCAGGCTCAGCACCCCCAGGCTCAGCACCCCCAGTCTCAGCACCCCCAGGCTCAGCACCCCCAGTCTCAGCACCCCCAGTCTCAGCACCCCGAGGCTCCGCAACCGCAGCAGCACCAGAGTCACCAGTGACCTCGACAGGCTCGACCGCGTCTACCTGAGACACACCTGAAGGGGCAGGACCCTGAGGGGGGAGGGGGTCTACCGGGGGGGGACCTGGGACCAGGAAGAGGGGCGGGGGGGGGAGGGACGGAGTGCGATAGGGGAAGAGCCGGTAGAAGGGAACCGACTCGTCGAACGTGACGTCCTGGGAGGACAGAACACGACGAGAGGTGGGGTGGTAAAACTGCCACCCAGGTGCGTCAGGGGGGAAACCCAGGAAGACGCAAGGAGCAGCACGAGGGGACAGCTTGTCCGCAGACAAGTCGCGGACAAACGCCCGAGATCCCCATACACGGAACGCCGACGCATCGCCAACCTTACCCGTCCACAGCAAAGCTGGGGAGGTCTCCGGTCTAGAGACCCTGGGCTGAAGGTTGATCTGATGTGCGGCGTACCAAACCGCAAACGGCCACAGAAAATGGGGGGCAGCCGCATGCACCATGGACGTACGGGCGACGTCCATGACAATGCCGATGCGGCACTCAGCAATCCCATTCTGGTGTGGAGAGTCCGGAAGCGTGAAGGTCTGACGGATGCCTCGTGCCCGACAGTAGGCTCGCAGAAGGCCGGAGGAGAACTCTCCGCCTCTGTCCGAGTGCAGACGCAAAACAGGAAAGTCCGAGCCGAAGCTCCGCCTGAGCTGGAGACGAGCTGCGCGGATCCAGTCGATCAACACCTCAGTGACGTCACCCTTGCTGCGCAAGGGGAAGACTGTGGTGTAACGCGAGTAGTCGTCAACCACCAGCAGGAAGTAGCGCTCGTGACCCTGTCCACGGACGCGGGCTGGGCCCCACACGTCCATGTGAAGCGTCTGCATCAGGGCCTCCGTCGGAGGAAACGGGGAGGAGTGAGGGGTAGCCCGCAGGCGACCCTCGACACAGGGGACACAGGGAGGGCCAGGCCCCGGAGGAAGGGGAGGGAGGGACCGGGGAAGGCCAGAGACAAGAAGGCGAGAGGCCATGCCCCGGAGACGAGGCAGGGAGGGGTGACCCATCCTGTGGTGCCACAGGAGGGTCTCGTGGGACATGAGGCGACAAGAGCAGGGGGCAGATTCAGGACCAGACCTGGACGCTGCAGCAAACACCTGACCCGACGCAGCTACCTGACCAGACGCAGGAGGAGGAGACGGAACAGTGAGTGTGTACAGGCTCGACCCCGGCCCACGTGTGAACGTGGTCAAGTGTCGACCCGTGTCCGCGTCCGTGCAGTGGGTGTCCCGTCGGCGTGCAGGGGTGAACTGGTCGACCCTTGCATCCTGTAGGTCAGCACCCGCCACCAAGTTCGTAGAGAACGAGGGGAGGTAGAGACCGGACAGGGCGCCAGACGGGACCGCAGGGCACGGCAGGACAGTGGAGTAGCGAGCCAGAACAAGACCCCCAGAGGGGTCCGCCAGGGAGACCGCCACTGGCCGACTAAGCGGCGTGAGTGTGGTGCGGTCTCGAAAGAAGGAGCGAGACGCCCCTGAGTCAAGAGTGAAGGTGAGAGAGGGCGGAGCCGACGCAGTACCTGAGAGAGCAGACTCACCAGCACCTGAGGACACAGACTCACTGGCACCTAGAGCGACAGCCTCACCAGCACCTGGAGCAGCAGCCTCAACAGCACCTAGAGCCGCAGTACCAATGCCCGGGTCGGGCGGGAAACACCGGTAACAGTCACCCTCCTCACTAATAGTCACAGCA